CCTCCACATGCAGTTGCTGGGTGACCTTGGGCTAGTCACACTTCTTTGAAGTCTCTCAGCCCCACTCACCTCACAGAGTGTTTGCTGTGGGGGAGGAAGGGAAAGGAGAATGTTGGCCACTTTGAGACTTCTTTGGGTAGTGATATCAAATTCAAACCCTTCTTCTTCTTCTTCTTCTCTGGTGAGCAATCTGGCTGCTGAATTTTGCACCAGCTGAAGTTTCCAAACAACCTGCTGAGGCAGCCCTATGTATGATGCATTGCAGTAATCTCTATGACCAACTCCAAAAAGCACCAATCTCTATGACCAACTGAAGCACTGTGGAGTAGATCTGCATGTAAGTACCAGGGGATTTAAAGAAAGGCATGCTGCCCTCCCAGCTGAACAGTGTCTGGCCAACAGACAGGCTTTCCTGGCCCATCTTAAGCCCTTTCAACCACCTTCAGCAGGAGTTAGAATTGCACTGTTAGCTAGGCAGGCAATCTTCCTGGAAATCCACCCAGAGGCTGCTGCCACATGATCCCTGCAATCTAGATCTGGTTGCCAGTCCTGATCCCCCTGCCCTCAACAGGATCTCTTCTGAAGATCTTAAAGTGCGAAGCGGCTCACAACTATGGCACAACTCAGTCTATGTTGGAAATATCCCCAATGCCATGCTTAACATGGAAATGCATTCAATACCATTGTTCTCTTAGAGCCCTTATACAGAAACTGCTACATCACAGCCCGCTTGGAAGAAGGGGAGGGTGCATAAGAAAGAAAAGTGAAATTCAGGCATCAGATTCTTCATGAGAAATAATAATGGAAAAATGGAATGGTGAACGCTATAGAGATGTGTTGATAGTGCCTTTTTAATAATGGCATGAGACTGCAGTGAATAGATTAAAAAAAGCCAATAGAGAACACAGAGAGAGAGGCAAGGATCCCTCTTAACTTAGTGACAGAGATTGCATTTGCTGGGGTTTTAGTATTAGGTCATAGCAGGCTGCTAAGATATCTGCACTTCAGACAAGCGAGGTCTGATTTCTAACCTTAAAAGATAACAATCTGTTTCCTTGGATTTGTTTCAAGCTTTGCAAAGCCAGCTGCATAAAATGCCACTATGCTCTTCTACAAAGAGACATTTGCCGTCGCTTCACCCTATGGGAAGGGTGGAAATGTCTGCTTTATGATGTCCTTGAACTCTGATAATGCCTTTTGCTTGCCTGGGTGAGGGATAGAAAAGAGGTGTGTGTGTGTATGTGTGCAAGCAAAGGTAACACCTGCATTCATTGCTCTTCCCACCTTGGGCATGTGCCTTGCTAGAAAATTGCCCAAAAGGGAATGTGCCCCCTGGGAATGAAAAGGCTTCCCCTCCCTTGCTATATATTAAGCTAAAATGGAAGCTTAAATAAAGAAGAGCGCCTGTTTCATGGCTCCCAAAGGAAGCTCATGCACCAATGCATGATGAATTCATTCCCCAGGACTGAAATTCCTGATCTGACAGTCTTGGATCCAACCCTCCATTTTTCCTCCCTCCCATAATTCAAAGTGCCAGGAAGGTCATGGCAACTGCCCCTGGGGCAGAACTCAGACCTCCATACTGCACAACTGTCCCATTTTAAGCAGGACACCCTGGATTTAGAGAAGCTGCCCCAGCTTCTGATCCCAGTCCCAGACGTTGGCTCCCATGCAAGTCAGCTGGCTCACACCAGAGCGTGGTACCCAAAAAAGAAAGTCAAACTTACCATACCCCCATGCATCACCACACTTCCTCCTTCCGCCATGACTTTCCAGCCGACATACTTCTGGACGCTGGCACTGCATTTATGGAAACACTACTGGCTTCCACATGGATGGTGGAGGCAGAGGCTGCAGAGATGGGCAAAGGTGCGAGGGAGGGAGGGAGCCAAGAAGGGTTGAGGCTGGAGTGAGAGGGGGTGCAACCTCCGTTGAGGTCGTATCCTGATTTTCCTTATTCCAGTGTTGGAGGGTATAGAGCTCAAGAAAATAAATGTGTGGGACCTGTTTTGAATAAACACAACAAGCACCACCCCGCTTCTGCCATATCAAGTTGGTAATGTTGCAAGGACATCAGAATAAACAAGGAGGGGACTTAACACAGAACCCTGCAGTGTGGGGTTCAGCCAGCCATTTCTTCTCTCCCCCTGCCTAGTTTTTTTGGGGGGCTTTATCATTTCCCACCCCCAAAGGCAGTCAGTACTCCCAGACAGCATGCTTAGTCCTGCTCCAAGAGCTTACAGTTTAAATTTCAACAAAGTTGATGATGAGAGACAGGGAGGAGGAACGGAAAGTCAATATAATATTAGCGAGGAATTTTAAGCGTTTCAACTCTGCATAAATCAATGTTTTTGTTTTATAAATCCTGCACAAGCATACTGTACAAGACAAAAACAAGATAAACTATTATCTCATACTTGATTCACTTTTCCCTGTCCAAAGTTTGTGTCGCTCTAAAACTAACTCTCTTGGTTTTCTCTGCACATTAACCTTCACAAAATTCAGCAGACATGCCAGTAGCCCAGCTCTTGGGTTTGATATTTCCTCAATTCTTTTAATCTTCCGAAAATTTCTGTGGCCGCCTGTTCTTCCTCCACACCAGAACACAAAGCAGAGGAAAAAGCATAAATCAATATTTACCATTAGGATCAATTCCTTTTTTCCTAGACTTTTATTTCTAACAATCAAATGTGTGGTTTCTTCCAGACAAATTCTGATCAGAGGCTTTTGGAGATGCTTCCTTTTTTAAAAACAAAGTTTTTAAAAGTCCATCGTTCCCCATCTAAGCGTTACAGATCTCTCCATGCACCACCACCCCCTCTCTCCAGTTGGCTTCCAGTGCTTTTCAAATGCATGGAAGAAGAGAGAAAATGTAGAACATGAATAAAAGGTTTTTAAGCATCTGAAGAAACCTGCAGGTCAGGCCCATTAAGAAGAAAACTGGCTCCTCAGTCTTTATCTGCATAACCTTTTCCCTCTTCTCAATCTTCCCATCTGAGATGTAATTTCTCAAACTGCTTCTTAATGATGAATCTTCCGTCTTGTAACTGCAATAATAGAAAAGTGAGGTGCAGTGCAAGCTGCAGGAGTCTGCAAAGGGTTTCATGTGAGCATGGGTCAACCTCTTTTAAAATCCAGTAAGCATTGCTGAAGGTGCAAAGGGGCAGCAGGAGGGAAACCCATCAATGGCACTGTCTTGTCCTTATTCTGGCCAATTACTCTTTGCATATCCAATGGCTTCTTGCTTAACATGCACAAAGCTAGTCATATGCGGTCAGCTGCAAATGACAAAGGCTTCCAAGCAGAGTTTGGGATGATAGAAGCAAACAGAGGGGAGCATTGCAGGGGCTCTGTGCCAGACATGGGTTCAATCCCCGGGGGCAAGGAATCTCTGGTAGCAGGTGCTGGATCACAGGCTTCCTGAGATCCTAAAGATTTGTTTTCAGTCAGAGTAGTCTGGGCTAGGAGAACCTGTCCAAAGTACAAGTTGGGGAGAAACCAGCATTTGCATTTCTTCACATTTCGACTAGATTCTTCAAACCTGCTTTATTATTACTACAGTAGTACCTTGGTTCTCAAACACATTGGTTTCCAAATGCCTTGGTTCCCAAACACCGAAAACCGGGAAGTAAGTGTTCTGCCTTTTTAATGTTTTTCAGAAGCCAAATGTCTGGTGCGGTTGTTGGCTATTGTTTCTGGGGCGCCTGCACCAATCAGAAGCCGTGCCTTGATTTCCGAACATTTCAGAAGTCAAACGGACTTCTGGAATGGATTAAGTTTGAGAACCAAGGTACCACTGTATTTGGCGCTTTTGTTTTTGCTATTTATTTTTCTGTTCTCATCCTGAAGCAAAGTTCTTAACCCGAGGTACTATTTCCGGGTTAGCGGAATCTGTAACCTGAAGCATCTGTAACCCGAGGTACCACTGTACAAAGAAAGCTGCTGGGGCAGTATAGACAAGACAGCTGACTCCCAGAAAATGCGTGTCCACTCTCAGCAGCTGAGAGTGGGCAGGAGTGGTTCAGTAGTGCTTTGGTTCCAAATGTGCAACTAACAAACCTACCCTTATTTTACACTACCGTATTTTTCGCCCCATAGGACGCACCGCCCCATAGGACACACCTAGGTTTTTTTGGGGGGGGGGAATAAAGAAAAAAAATTATTTCCCCCCCAGGTGCGGGGCTGGCACGGGGGAAGCCCGAGCTTCCCCCGACCACAGCCCCCAGAACAGGCTGCTGCCTGCAAGCCTTGCGCGCCTGGCGGGACCTCCTGCAGGGCGCGCGAGGCTTGCCGACATCTGCCCAAAGCACGGGGCAGGCTCCGCAACTCACCCCGTGCTTTGGGCTGCAGGCTGCCGCCCCAAGCCTTGCGCGCCTGGCGGGACCTCCCACCAGGCGCGCGAGGCTTGCCGACATCTGCCCAAAGCACGGGGTGGGCTCCACAGCTCGCCCTGTGCTTCAGGCTGCAGGCTGCTGCCCGCAAGCCTTGCGCGGCCGGTGGGACCTCCCACCGGGCATGCGAGGCTTGCGGATAGCTTCCTGAAGCCTGGAGAGCGAGAGGGGTTGGTGCGCACCGACGCCTCTCACTCTCCAGGCTTCAACGAAAGCCTGTATTCGCCCCATAGGACGCACACACATTTCGCCTTCATTTTTGGAGGGGGAAAAGTGCGTCCTATAGGGCGAAAAATGCAGTATTTAAGATGCAGCCATACGAATGCCATCTAAATGTTTTATGTTCTTTAAAGGTTTACTGGTTTTAAAAGGCTGCATGGATTCCAGCAGAGGAGATTTTTTCATGTTCGGTTCTGCAGTGTTTGTTTCTCCACAGGCGCCGCGTATCTTCATGTCTTATGTTTTACTGCAGAGCTTTATTTTCAGGGAATGCAGATTGGGAAATGTGATAGCTCCCTCCTTTTTCCCAGCTGCAGAAGCCTACACCGTTTGCTGACTTCCAGCACTCGGAATTTCATTTTTCTCCTTTCCCTCCACCCTGAAATATTCATATCCTGTGTCAGGGATTGAACCTGGAACCTTCTGCATTCAGAGCAGGTGCAGTACCACTGAGCTACAGCCCATCCAGGTGTAAGAAGGCATGGCCAGGCCAGAACACCTGACTACTCCAGGTGTCACATTTTTGTTAAGTATTTAAAAGGGGCAGCGATGGGAGATAGAATGCAGGGGCAGGAAGAGGGATAGAGAGAAGGACCATTACACCTTAATGTGAAGTAAGAAGTTTGAGTTAAAGGCAGATCCTACCTCTGAAGATGTTGAAGACAACTGTCTTTAAAAAAACTCCATATGAGCCATCATGATATTGAAAACAAATTCGTCTAAAGCGATCTCATCAACATCTTGGAAAGGCTAAATTAAACGGGGAGTTGTGTATCCCTGTTCTCATATGCAACTGACGTTTATTTCATTTGTATAGTCTTTGATCTGTGTGGCATTTTTAAAGGAGCAACCTGAAGTATGGTCTTAATCCTATCCCCTCCTGGCTAATCACATTTCCAAAACACACACAAAAAACAAAAACAAAAGAGGCAATATTTAATTTACAAAGGAGACCAAAGGCAAAAAAACAAAATAAAATCAATTTGGACCACACCAGCAAATCTCGTTTAGAAATTCTTCAAAGACTCTCTTCCCTAAATACATGTGCAATATTGAAGCTGTTTGTAATTACTACCTTTATGAAATGCTTTGGTAACTGAATGGCATTTACAATTGAGTGATAAAGGATTTGATAAAGTAGCATTTAAATACTCCTTTTGCCAGGAAAGATTCTATTGAGCAGTGCCGAAACAGCTGGAGATGGAGTAATTGTCACGATGGGATTATACTCCATTTGTACTAGTTGAGCTATTTTAAACCCATATGTGTCATACATTAATATAGTTGGTTGAAAGCTAACATTTAGAATTCATTTTGGAGTAATTGTCTGCTCCTGCAGTTGCTTCTTCTTTTGGTACAACTGCCCAGCTCTCCGTTGTACTTCAAATCTTTGAGTCACCCACCTCAGCGCTGCAGCAGAAACCACAAGGCACAGCAATAGGGAATAAGCTGAGTCTTGATTCTACTTGAAACAGATTTATTTAGGTTCCTACCTTAATCTCCCTCTATGTGCCTTCACCTTCTCTAGGATCAAGCAAACTTGGCTATGTGTGTGTCATATCACATGTTGTTATTATCTTAGGAACTCAGCTCTCCAAATCTGCCGTCCGCAGCTGGTGATTTGAGCCTGAAGACAGACAGAGAGTTGAAATGCCTTTACAGAGGAAAGGCTGTCCGTAGTATGTACTCTCATCCCATTGCGTCCTCTGGTGAACAGGTTTTGTATACGGCTCTTCAAAACGCTGTAAAAGCTGTTTGATCAGAGGCAACAATGTGTTTGTGTCTGTGTACTAAGTGATGTGATACCTCTTCTGAACTACTTCCATTTCTCTGGACTATTGTCTCTCTCCTACCTATGACAGCTATAGACAGGCAGGTTTGTTTGTTGGCAAAGGAATCAGTTGGTGGAAAGACAGCTGTAACAATAGAAGTGACTCCAAAACCCATGCTAATGAGATACTGACCTCTGCTATTCCTAAACAAACTTTGGGGAAGGCAGGGGTGGACTTTGGTAATATGGTGCCCTGAAAACTTGGCATGCCTCCTAAATATATCTTATTTTCACATAAAGGTAAAAGGTAGGGTAAAGGACCCCTGGACAGTTAAGTCCAGTCAAAAGTGACTATGGGGTTGCAGCGGTCATCTTGCTTTCAGGCTAAGGGAGCTGGTGTTTGTCCACAGACAGCTTTCCAGGTAATGTGGCCAGCAGGACTAAACCGCTTCTGGCGCAACAGAACACCATGACGGAAACCAGAGCGCAGGGAAATGCTGTTTACCTTCCCGCCACAGTGATACCTATTTATTTACTTGCACTGGTGTGCTTTCGAACTGCTAGGTTGGCAGGAGCTGGGACAGAGCAACGGGAGCTCACCCTGTTGCAGGGATTCAAACCGCTGACCTTCCGATCGGCAAGCCCAAGAGACTCAGTGGTTTAAACCACAGCACCACCCTCACCCCTATTTTCACATAAATTCATTTTGGTACAGTTGCTTTTATGGATATTCTCAGCAGGTACACATATAAATATAGGTATTCTTATTATTACTACTACTATTCTGCACGCACTCAGCTCAGCGCCCTGTGCTCTTCCTCAGAGTGGAGAGATTTCCTTCCTTTGCCTGCATGTTAGATGAGTACTCTCTTCAGATGGAGTCTGATCATTGATAAGGGTGATCTAAAATGGCTAATGGATAAATAGGAATGGCAGGGAAGCTTCAACCTGTTTGGATAAAATGGAGGCTCTCTCTCTCTCTCTCTCTCTCTCTCTCTCTCTCTCTCACACACACACACACACACACACACACAGCTTTTCTGAAGAACTTATGAAAAACCTTAATGGGTCAGACAAAAGGTCCATCTCAGAATCCAGTGATCAAAAAAGATGCTTCTGGGAAGCCTACGGGTTTCTTTGAGAAATTAGTTCCTCCTGCAGAATTGGGGTGGCCTGTCTTCATAAGCTACTATTCACAGGGCTTGTGAGAAGCAAAATTCTTGTTTTCCCCCCTATGCTGTGAGCTGATTTTGTGGCAAGGAGGGCATTGCCTAGATGAATGTTCCTATGGAATTATCACTGCTAGAGCTATGCGGTCCCAAAGGCTGCTCGGCCTATACATTTTTAGATGAATTGATTCCACTATCCTTTCCCAGAGGAAAGAACGGTGTAAAAGCAGCCATCCATGTTCCACTGCTTGGGCTTAAGTAGGTGCAAAACCAAAATTATGATGCAAACAGAATGCTCAGTGACACCATAGGCCAGAATTCAAATAATCTGAAAACCAGATCCATGTATCCCAGATTGGACTTTTGAGACAGAAAACTATCCCCAGGGCTGGCATGGGATATTTTGCTGGCTGAGGCAAAGGACAAAATGGTGCTTCCTCCCTGCCCACCACCTCATTACATGTACAAAAGCCAACCAGAATGACAGCTGAATCTTAGTTCAGCACTGGCAATTGGACAGCGTTCTCCACTCCACCGGAAAGCAGCAGGCTAGCTTAGACCCTGTGGTGTGCACAGCTCTGCCTCCTCCTCAGCACTCAACATCTGCCACCTGAAGGCACCTGCTTCACTCTGCCTCATGACAGGGCTGGCCCTGACTATCCCCCAGATGTTGGGGACAAGAAAGGAGAAGTGCCTTTCTCCGCCACACTCTGCTCTAGGTGTTTCCCAGATAGGCTACAGTTGCTGAAGTTCGCTCTTGTGCACCATTTTTAAGGGTTACGTACATCCAATGATGGGACACGGGTGGCGCTGTGGGTTAAACCACAGCGCCTAGGACTTGCCAATCAGAAGGTTGGCAGTTCGAATCCCCGCGACGGGGTGAGCTCCCATTGCTCGGTCCCTGTTCCTGCCAACCTAGCATTTCGAAAGCACGCCAAAGTGCAAGTAGATAAATAGGTACTGCTCTGGCGGGAAGGTAAACGGCGTTTCCATGCGCTGCTCTGGTTCACTAGAAGCGGCTTAGTCATGCTGGCCACATGACCTGGAAAAACTGTCTGTGGAAGCGGACAAATGCCAGCTCCCTTGGCCAGTAAAGCGAGATGAGCACCGCAACCCCAGAGTCGGTCACGACTGGACCTAATGGTCAGGGTTCCCTTTACCCTTTACCTTTACATCCAATGATGGTCTTCCACAAAGTACAGTCATACCTCGGGTTACAGATGCTTTAGGTTGAGTTTTTTTTGGGTTATGGATCCACCAAAACCCGGAAGTACTGGAACGGGTTACTTCCGGGTTTTGGCGGTCGCGCATGCGCAGAAGCGCTAAATTGTGCTTTGCGCATGCGCATAAGTGCCAAATCGCAACCCGCGTGTGCGCAGATGCACCGCTGCGGGTTGCAAACGTGCATCCCACACGGATCACGTTCGCAACCCGAGCGTCCACTGTAGATCCACTGTAGTTAAGCAACATGGCTGGCTTGGGTTCAGTAATTTCAAGGCGTCTAGCTCTCAATAGAACTCTCAAGTTGTAGACGCCATGTTCTCTTCTGTATGTTGCCAACCTGTTCCTAGAGCACAGCCCAAACATGTGGTGAAGGAGTTCTTCATGGGTATACTTAGATTGTGATAAGTGACCCTTCAGATTGGAAGTCATTTCTGACAGGTTATCTGTGCCCACTCTGTTGTCTATAGATAGCACATCATAATTACATCATGGTCGTTATAATTGTTTGTTTGATCAAACCTCTAATTTATTCTCATTTGCAAAAAAAAAAAAAAGGAGTCTAAAAGTAGTCATTTATTTTGAACTGCGTACTAAGCACACCAAGAATAGAACAGGCTGCACAACAAACAATGCACAAATTGATTCTTTGGGCAAGAGGTAACATTTGAATGCTTCCTTGCACCTGGCTTCCATAAAGGGTGTCGAGTTCTGTTGTTTTAAAATTCAGCCTTTGTGCCTGGATATATTCTTCCCTCTTGCAAAGCTGCCTTTGGAATGCCAGAGGTAAAGGGTTCGGGGGGTTTGGATGAGCAGGTGACCTTCAGACAACTTTAGTGGGAAAGGACAAAGTTGGAAGATGAATGCATAAACGCAAGAGACGTGCCGTGTTTCGAAACCTTTCCCTTTGACCATTTTGTGCTTTGCAGGTGTATCAAAACATCGCAAACACAAATGAAATAAACAAATATTGCCAGAAAGGAAAACATAAGTGTTAAAAGAAGCAGGAGGACACAAGACCCCTACACAAGAGCCACTGTGGTGTAGTGGTTAAGAGCAGTCGACTCGTAATCTGGTGAACCGGGTTCGCTTCCCCGCTCCTCCACATGCAGCTGCTGGGTGACCTTGGGCCAGTCACGCTTCTCTGAAGTCTCTCAGCCTCACTCACCTCACAGAGTGCTTGTTGTGGGGGAGGAAGGGAAAGGAGATTGTGAGCCGCTTTGAGACTCATTAAGGGGAGTGAAAGGCAGGATTCTTCCTCTTCTTCTACTGGATAAGACAGAGGGTCTCTCTACTCCAGGGT